TATAAAAGTATTTTATTATGATGAATGATGATGAATACATACATAATGAGAATAAAAATTAAAAAAAATAATAATAATTAAGTATTTCAAACACATGTCTGACCATGAGAAAAACACGCATTTTCTAGATTGAGGCCACAAATAGTCAAGGATTGGCCCTGTGATTTGTTGATCGTCATGGCGAAAGCAAGACGAATCGGGAATTGAATTCGTTTAAACTCAAAGTGCATATCTGTTGGGATCATCGGAATCCTTGGAATAAGAACTTCCTTATCTTTAAATTTTCCTTTAAGTATCGACGCGTGAATCACATTGCTCATCAGTTTTCTTATCACCAAACGCGTTCCATTGCACAGTTTTGGTTGGTTTAAATTTCTAAGCATGATGACTACCGAGCCAACCTTCAGTTGAAAATTGTGCGGTGGTAAACAAGGCACATCCAAGGAGTTCAAAAATTTATTGAAATGATCGAGTATTCATTACACATTTCTGAACGCACGCGTAATATTTTTCAATCTTTTTAAAAAAACAATACATAATAGTTTATTCATCCATTTTAAATAGTTTATGAACGCATGCATAAATGTCAATCATTAATTACACAATTCTGAACGCACGCGTAATATTTTTCAATCTTTAAAAAAAAACAATAAACATAATAGTTTATTCATCCATTTTAAATAGTTTATGAACGCATGTATAAATGTCAAACATTACTTACAGATTTTGACAATAAAATTTGACAGCTCCGAAACTAAACAACTTTTAGGGAAAATAACGCATTTTTCAAGTATTCGTCAATTTTTCGTTATTTTTAAGATGTATTCTGCTATTCGGGGCGGAGACAAATCCAACAAATCAAAAACCATGAAAATTGGTCCAGCAGATCTCGAGTTATAAGTGTTGTAACAAACCCGACTTTCTTTTATATATATAGATTAATTATCGAATCTACAAAAATACTGTCCTTACATATCCCGATAAATCTCCGTGCTTCGGAAGGCACGTTAAGCCGTTGGTCCCGGCTGCATTTGCAGTCGTTAATACCCTCCAATCCGCATTGGGCCAGCGTGGAGGGTCATGGCCCATCCTCCTTAACCATCCATAAGGAAGGCCCAAGCCCCTGCAGTGGGGACGTAAAAGGGCTGATGATGATGATGATGATGATATCCCGATAAAATGTGGTATTGGCATTAAATTACTGAACTATTTACAGTTTAAAAAGAGACTAAAGAATTTGAAAGACAAAAGCCACATACACACAGCAGCACAATAGTTAAATTTAAAAAAATGCATAGTTCGATCTTTAGTGTCATGTCGCTCATATCCAATCTTAGACCAAGCCTATAAACCTGACAGATCATTCGGGGCTTCAGTTTCGCAGTAGGGCTGACGTTCTGTCGATTGTACAGTTACCTACTTGTAGTAGGTAATGTACTTAAGTAGCTCTTGATCCCTGATTTAATTTATCACTACGTTAATTAATGCTAAGTGGCATTCGATCGATTCGGAAGGAATATGATGTCAGAGCAATAATCAAGGCCCGGGCAAGTAATTATTAGTCAAGGCCCGGGCAAATTAGAGAAATTCTGAATATAAATCAAAAGAAAAACTGAATCAAGACCCTCGTACTTCAACGTTTCGACGCCCCTATACAAATATGCATCAAGATACATTATACATTTTCATACATTTTGAATCACAGGATAAAACAAATGCAGTTATAAAAAAATCTTCTGTGTATCTTAGGCGATATCAAAACCTATTTTTGTGTATATTTTTAAATACATAGAGGTAGTTAAGATGAAATGTATCAGTCATAATATCGATCCAAAAGTCATCTTAGCATATTTTTTTATCGAGCCAATTATTGAAATTCATGTACGATATCATTCAAAGTTAGTACTTTGAATGATACGAGGGTCAAACTGAAAGTTCTTAGAAAATCAAAAACTGATTACATTAGCCAGTTATTAGTTTTATTATATCTTTTCAAAATATTGTCCATTCACGTCAATACACCGCTGCATGCGATGGAACCACTGGGAAAAGCACTTTGCCCACTCGTCCTTAGGGGTCTCTTCAATGGCATCGCGATACGCAGCCACCGCTTCTTCAGCATTCATAAACCGCTTTCCTTTAAGTTTTTCTTTAATTTTTGGAAATAAATAAAAATCACAAGGCGCGAGGTCGGGGCTATACGGCGGGTGACCCAGTAATTCAACGTTTGATGTCGCCAAATAGTCGATCGTTCGATTGGCGGTGTGCGACGAGGCGTTGTCGTGGTGAAGGAGGATCCTACTGCGAGGTCGTTTCTCTCGAACTTTTTCCAAGACAAGTGGCAAACAATTGGTAGTGTACCATTCTGCAGAAACTGTTTTTTGATCCTCTAACACAATTGTTGCAAAATGACCTATCCTTCCAAAGAACGAGGCCACCATTTTTTTTCCCGCACTTCGATCTCTCTTCACTTTAGTTGGCAACTCCTCGAAAGGAAACACCCACTGAGCAGATTGTCTTTTGGTTTTAGGATCATAACAGTAAATCCAGCTTTCGTCACATGTTAGTATGTCGAACACAGCATTTGAGTCACCTCCGTTAAATCTTTCAATCATTTTACGACACCAATCCACACGATGGAGTTTTTGAGCCTCAGTCAAATTATGAGGTATCCACCGGGCGCAAAGCTTCCTGACCGCTAAATGTTCGTGGAGGATTTTGTGCACTTGACTCATACCGATGCCTAAGCTTGTCCGAATCTGTTGATAGGTCACTCTTTTGTCAGTCTCTATCATACGCCGCACAACACAGATGTTATCTTCAGTCGTCGCCGTAGAAGGCCGTCCCTCACGTAAATCATCAATGAGATTAGTGCGACCACGTTTAAACTCATTAAACCAGTTGTAAACAGTCGCACGAGATGGGGCTTCATCGTGAAAGGCCAATCGTAGTCTATCATAACTTTCTTGTTGACTTAAATGACATCGAAAGTCATAAAAAATCATTGCACGAAAATTTTCTCGTGTTAAATTCATGATAACGTGACACAGACAATTTTCAATTTGCCGCCAAATCGTAAAACAAATGACAAATGAATGAAATATATACTCAGTAATATTGGCAAAGAGTTATATTTTCAAATTTTAGAATTATTTTTTTATTATATTGTTTATAAGTGGCCAGTTCTAAGAACTTTCAGTTTGACCCTCGTATGGTACATGTTTATTCTAGTGGACTAGAAACTTCAAGTCATGTATCATTATCACTAAAGGATTTTAAGGAATTCAAGTCGTTTTTCTCTTTTGACTGAGTAAAATTTAGATATTTTTAATGGGTTATCAAATTGACACGTCGCGTCTAATTTAATTTTTCTGCGAATTTGCTGTTACACAATTTTAGGCGCTAGTGAGATTGATAACAAATATGTCATATGATGAATAAAATCAGGTTATAGCATATAACAAACGAGTCAGTAATCATTAGCGTTATAATTGGCATAAATTAAAGGGTGACAAGGTACCTATTATTATTTTACTCATAGAAAAAATAAACAATTAGGAAAATAATTAAAAACTACACATTTATTTCTTTTATATTTCAATTAAGTTTCCTGACCATATTTTTTTTTATTTATTCGAAATATTTGTAACTAATTTATTGTACCATTTTGAGTTAATTTTGAATTAACTTGAATTAAAATTAACATTTTGAATTAAAATTTTGAGTGCAATAAAGAGTATTATATATATTTATACAAATTTTTCGATTCCATTTCTAGAGAAAGCGTATGCACCATCCGCAGGAGTTACATAAGCTGACGATGATGATATGGGTAGATACATAAAAAAATCACTAACTTTCTATTGATTTTGTACAAAGATAACTCAGTAATCATATTTTTGAATTTTTAGGATTCACCAAATCTTCTCAGCAACACCAATGAGACCCTAGCCGATAATTCCTACACCGGTGGCTATTTGGTAACATACGGGATCACTCAAGTAAACTACACCACCAATGCTGTATACCTACAGAAAGGCCAAACTCGCACTACCCCGAGTGAACGCTCGTCTTTCCAAGTCCCTCCTACAGTAAACCCTTATTGCTTCTGGTAATAGATGCTATCACTGGTCATGGCAATGTTAGCAGGCACCTTTTCAATCTAGGTGTTACTGATAACACCTTGTGCAGAGGATGCATGGAGCCAAAAAAAAAAGCCTCTCGCGACCTGCTAGAATGGAACGGATTGGCCAACTACCGGGCAAAGTACCTCGGCTCGACGGGTATTCTCCAGGAGGCCATCACAGACGTGAAGGCGCTAGGAGCATTTCTGGCGGAGCTGGGATGACTGGAGTAGCATCCAGACACACACAAAATAGGGACAATTTTGACATCGAGTTGCGGAGACGCCCGTTGAAAGAAGAAGAAGAAGTAGGCACCTAGAATGTCAAATGGCAACTTAAAATTTAGAAATTGATGGTGAAAACGGGCATTAAACCCCATATTATAGAGACTCTGAGACAACACCCAGGCCGGAGAAGTATAGTAAAGTCCACTTTCTACATTGACCCGACCGGAAATTGAAAATTCGAGGTCGTCCTAAAATAATAATAACCAAAAATAAATAAAAAAATTGTTTTGGACGTGTAATACGCTATCGCCTATCCCTATCTATCTCAATGATGAACGAGTTAATTTCTTTCGGATTTTTCGTTTGTCTTAAATAAATAAAAATAAAATATTTAACAACATCACATACATTGCTCAGATTCCAGGATGAGTAGCTAAAGCCCCCGTATTATGAAGTATCTGAGACAACGAAGGTACCACAACACCCAAACCCGAGTCAATATAGAAAAGTTCATTTTCTACATTGACCCGACCGGGAATCGAACCCGGGATCTCAGAGATGGCGACACCTTAAAACCGGCGTGCGATACCACTCGGCTACGGAGGTCGTAAATTAAATTCGTCTAACTCTGCAGAAATATGCAAAATTTGTATACGCAACGAAAGGTTGTAATGAAATACGGTAGTAGATTCACAACATTTTATTTTTTAAACTTAAATTCGACTTCTTAAGTACAATTAAGAATTTATTTTATGATTTAAGTTAGCGAACATTATGGCAATGCTATTTTGTAACACCTTCATAGTACCTTGTTAATTAAATTTTACAAACTTAATAATACTAGGTTTATATACAAAAATCACTAACTACTTATCTATATAGTACAATATACATAGTATATATATTTGGAAAATGCAAGGCACCAAAATAGCACCAACAATGGTTACAATTATTTCGAAAAAAAAATCACTGGATGTATATAATAAAATTTTCAAATACGTATAAAAAATCAAGAAATACCGTTTCTTAATTATATATAAGATATAAGGTAATATCTTAATTAAACAATGAATTATAATAATCTTATGTTACAAAAATCTAATTTAGATAGATATTAATTTCTTTTAGTAAATACGTCGACAAGTTAATTAAATATACAAGGATTTACTTTAGTACATCTTTTTAATACTAAGACTATACTGAACAATTTGTGATACTGCTTAGTCTTATATATAACATTAAAAATAGTTTAAAATCAGACTAATTTCTTGTAATCAGACATTAACTCAAAAAATTGAGTCGAACTACAATTTAGACCTTTTTCTCTTTTAAATATTTGCTACATGAGCTTATGTTAAATATCTCATATTGATCTTGTTTTTCCTAACATTCTATTCAAAAAAGAAATGAGAACTATTATTTATTAATATGCTTTGGCTTTAGTTGATAAAGTTATTTGTAACACAAAGGTTTCCTATTAGAAAACGCTAATTTAATTAAAATTACCAAATTCTAATTTCTGTACTGTCAAATAGTAAATAATCAAATCATAGAGAAAAGTCTAAACTCGAGGAACTTTTGGACTGTCCAGATTTGTCGATGACTACCCTAAAATATATATATGTAAAGAATAACTATGGAAGACATAAAATATTACATTTGGCACTTAAACATCCTACCGAATGTCGATCCACCAAATATTATCCAAATAAATACATGTACAACATCTCAAACGCACAAAAAGGATTTACAAAAAAAAAAACTTTGTGACATTTTGTTTGATGATACCATTTCAAATGATTCCAATAAGGCACTTTATATCACTACAAATATATAATACTGGACGCATATAATAGACTCCCAAGCTGCCACAGATAAAATCCAACATTTATTTACCACATATTAATACTATCGATTAATACACAGCGACTCTACATACTTGGGGTCCATTTCATCAATTTCACGACCTTTCGTTTCTGGTACAAATAGCACCACGAATAGCAGACACAGAACTGATATACCAGCGTACATCCAAAAGAGACCATATAAACCTATATGGTCCTGGAAATCCGCCGCAGTTTTCACATTAACAAAACCGCAAAGATGACTGAAACTGGTAGCCAATGCGCTACCTAAACTTCTGTATTCTAAAGGGAACAATTCTCCAATCAGGAGTGCTGATATTGGACTGATACCTAACGAGAAAGCTATCGTAAAGGTCAACACGCACACTAAAGGAATCCAATCGTACGCTCCGGCGTCGTGAGATAAATTCGTCGAACTTCTTATGACTTCTTCGTAGTAAGCGTAAGATCCGAAGCCGGCTAAAGCAATGGACATCATAACTCCGCTGATCATCAAAAGAGGTAGTCTACCCACGTTATCTATGAGCATGCCGGATAAACATGAGGCTAATAATTGCACGACACTCGTGGCTATGGCTCCTCCGTGCGGATTCATCATCCTAAAGGTCTTCTTGAACATCGACACTGCGTAGAAATTAAAAACGTGAGCTCCAGTGAATCTCTGGAAGAACATCAGCCCGCAAGTAATCAAAACTGGTCTAGTCAACCTTTTTGATAGAAGGGCTTGTAATTTGCACGTTCTACCGTCGCTGTACTGCTTGCTGGCTAGAATATTGGTGCGTATAGTCGCTAGCTCTTGTCTGATGTCCGCATCGGGGCCTCTGAGCCATTGGAGTGATTTTTCCGCCTCTTGTTCCCGTCCTCTTAGGAGCAAAGAGGATGGAGTTTCAGGAACGAACAGTAGTGCGAAGAATAGCATTACAGGTGCGGCCGCTACGACCAAAGCGAGCTGGTACCAGTTGAGGTAAGCACCCAGCGAGAATGCGATGAGGATCCCGATCTGGCTGAGGATCTTGAGGACTGAGCTGAGACATCCACGGATTTCTGGAACTGCGATTTCAGTGACATACACCTGAAAAGAAATAAAAAGTAGTATTAAAACCTTTAAATAAGTCTGGGTGAAATAATTTCATCGTCCCAGCTACTACGGACACCAACAGAAGTTTTCTCGACTTGTTAACTGATACATTTTATAAAAAAAAGTTATAAATTATGTATATTAAATTTTATAAATTATGTTTAAGAGTAAGTTAAATAAATGCCTTTACTAAGTAGAGCTCCATATTACTGTACTCTTTACCTAGCCCAGTGCAAACAGTGATAAAAGCATACACACGTTTTGTGAATTTAGCGCTCCATTGAAAGCGCACAAAACACATACCCTTTTATTGAGCTTCTTCTCAAAGAATATGTATCCTTGTAGAGGTGGACTTATTTACAGTCTCTTTTTGATAGAAATATACTTATACATCTGATCTCATCCCATATGTCAAACGGAACTTTATCTAAATGTAGTTATTTTTATTAAATTAATATTTAGTACATAATCACCAACAATAATTATGTACCTAAATATTAACAAAATTATATAAATTGAAGCCACTTTTAAACAAATGATTTATTAATACAACTAAGTACAAATACTCCATTATCTTGCTACCAAAAACCTATTTATGTATCTGCATTTTGAAAATATCACAAAATTGATAAAAATTATATGATTTCAAATGTCATCCTATTAATATTATAAATGTGAAAGTTTCTTTGTTTGGATGTTTGTACGTCAATCACGCCGAAACTACTGAACGGATTTTGATGATATTTGGTATACAGATAGGGTGTTAGCTGACTTAGATAATAGGATACTTTTTATCCCACTAAACATTTCCCTAGGGTCCACGCGAGCGAAGCCGCTGGCGAAAGCTAGTAGATAATATAGGAGCAGAGCTCTATATGTAGCCCAAAGAAACCCAATGACACATATGGCCACATTTCGCGAGTAAACTAACGTTCATAATGGATTACCAATAAAATAATGAACTAGTTTTTGTTACTTATTGCTTTAAATAGTGATAGATTTCATTGCAAAATCAGTGTGTATTCTGTATTACGTCAATACTTATTCTACAATCCGAAGCAGTAGAATAACATTATATAATGGAAAGCTTAAATAGTTCCTGGTTGAAACGGGACACAAGTAATGCAAACAATTTAAATCGCTAGACTTATTTGTTTCCGTACTTCGCTTCATTTTATACTCCATAATTTATTGTCAAGTAAAAATATATGTATGTACTCATGTACATTCATATATATGACCTTGTGAGGTAAGATTTACTTTAAATATGAATAGAAGATAATAATAATAATCACAAAAATATGATTGATTTCATTTAAATCGAAATATATTAAAGGTAATAAATTATGTTAAAGGTAATTTGTTTTGTTATAAAAATTGGAAAACTAGCAGCCCGCCACGGCTTCGCGCGGATTCCTGCTATTTTGAAAGTATTCTATCGCCTATGTTCAACATGGATGACGTAGGATTATAAAGGTAAAATAATTTTTAAAATTTTTAGCTGTTTTAATATTTAAATATTTGCAAATCTTTAAACTACCGGGTGATTTATCTCCTCGATATTGATTTACTTTTTATAAAGGTAGTGTTTAAAAGCACTAATGAAAATACAGCTTACAATTTATTATCTTTATACGAGTAACGTTACTAAATGAATCTTTATTTTTAGCAATTTAACCACGCCACGTACCTATTACTTATCATAATACAATAAATTAGTGCTCTCCACGCATTCGGCTGAATCAGTTATTCTTATTGTAAGAACAATATTACAAACCAAACAATTTAAACGTTCAACTAAGTGCTATAGGACGCCGCTTGGAGGCGCCATCGTACTTGTACATGCAACGGAATATATTTTGGTCGCTTTATAGCTCTCTTTGGTAATACATTTTTTATTACTTATTCAATCCTATGTTTTTCTGGCCTTACCCCTCACTTATTTACACCATTCGTGTATTAGTTATTATAACATCACTATTATCAGTAACATAATTTATCAATATAGTATGAAGTATCAATATTATCCTTTAATGCCTAAAAACTAAGCCATTTCTTGTTAAATTGACACAAAAAAGAAATATACATCAAATATTCTTCTATTATTTGACTGACGGACTTGAACAACTAGATAAAATAGAATTTCTTTTTTTCACCCTGTCAACATCCATTCTGACTAAATGAAGTCTAGATTTTTTTAGTTTTCAAACACCTTATTCAAATTTCCTTGCTTCAATATCATTTCGAATAGCATTTTTCTGCTGAAAGTCAGTTTCAACTAGTTTAAGACAAAGTTAATTATATTTTGGTGTAATATGAAAAAAAATACTAACACTTAAACACGTCGAAACAGTGTTTTCGGAACAATTAAAACAATTAGTTTCGGCAACATCACGTTAGATATTGAGACAACACATGATTATAACTTTGACAGGTGTGGTAATTTGCTAGTTTTTAAATACACGAATATTTTAGCGAAACAATATGAGCACAACGTAGTGTAGGTGTCTGATCATTGTATTATTGCGTGAAACAAAATCTTTGGACATCTTTTTACGAAATTGCACAGATGGAAATGTATGAAAAGCAAAGACAAATTTTCTATGTAAAAGTGAACGCTTACAAATTACATTTTAATATCATTGCAATTAAAAAAAAAAATTTAAATGAAAAATTTGTTATCAGTACACAATTTTTCCTATGTCTTACAGCCAACATACAAGTCCATTTAAACATCACATTAGTTTTAATGTGACATTACCTATACAAATTTTACATTTATTTGAGCTTAAAGGCGTCATTAAACCTTTAATGGACGTTTGTGCAACTAACCGTTTATATCGTTGATGGAACATATTTTATATAATTTCATATTTACATTGATAGAATTTTAATAACAATATTTATTATTTAAGAAGAAACTGTTGATATGTTGACAAAAAGCGGTATTCCATGTACGGTAGGTATATCGTAAGTAGCAATGTGATATAGACATTTTACTTGCTTTTATGGTTAGATGTTATTTTAAAAAGAAAAAAGTCTGTGATAATAATGATCGCGATGACTCATTGCCATATTGCTTACAAAAACATTATTATACTTCGTATGGGAATTCTAATGTATTACTTACGTCGTGTGATCTTAATAGCAACATTATCGTAATACAAACAATACGTTATATAATAGTATTAAATTCCTATTATTAAAAATTTCATTAGATGGAGCCGATATATTATTGAAAGGGTGATTGTAAAATTACAAAGTAAGTAAATTTACAATGGAAAAATGAACTTTATACACTAAATTTATTATTGTGGTTGAAAGATGGCTAGTTTTTTAATGCTAAGAAAGACAACTTCAATATGCCCAATACCAATATTTCTATGGTTGGTCACATCTACGCTATTCAATTAAAAACAACTCTGAATTGGACGGCGACCTTAGCACTGTCTCGGCGTAGAGCTTCAATGAACATTTATTACTTTTAGAAATAGATTTTATTTGATCGAACTTCTATGGCATACCAGTGCGGCGCTCCTCGTCGAGTTCGATGTTTTTATAACAGAATAGCTTTGATGGGCTGTATCCGAGACTTATTCTGATTGGTTCTTGAACAAAAATATATTTACCTGCGTGATCATAGTCATCGAACATAGAAGCAGACCGCCGCAGAATGACGTAGCCGCCAACATATCGACGCCGGTGGACAGCGCCGTCACTAGCCAAACCAGCGAATAAGGCAAAGCCGCCGCTATTAGTACTGTTCTTCTGCCTAATCTCATCGCCATGCCACCCAGAATGCCGCCAACTAGAGCACCTGATGAAAAAGAAAAACAGTAAATATCTAAAGGTCTACACGTTACTTTAGGATATACAATATGATGATTATGACACGTAACCTTACTTTTTTTGTCGAAGAAATGCTTTTATCCCTGTTACCTGACAAGCAGAAAACAGGACAGCACTCTCCTCCATGAACACACCGGGCAGTGAGCTACCCAGTGGGTCCCTGAAGGTCTATCCTCCTAACTCTATCCTACCGTACTTCTAGATAAGACCTGAGAACCCGTAACTGATTCACCATGGCACTCAATCCCCCGTAATACAATGGTACAATACCATTAGTCCCCTCACGGTCAGAGATGTTCGGGTACATCCAGGCTCTATCAGACAGACGAGACCCGTGTCATGTGACCTAACCTTTTTATTAGTGAGACCATTATTTTAAATAACAGTATTCGGTTTACAAATCAATTAATAAACTTAAACTTGCTTAAGTTAATACCGCATTGTTAGATTTTATCATTTATACTGCAAATAGTCGAGTCTTAGTTTCCGTTAATTTAATCTACATCAATAAGACTCTCAGATATTATCTTGCTTCAAACCTAGATTTAGATTCGGTCCGTTCTAAATTAGCGCATACCGGAATAGTTCTCTTCGTGTAATGATATAGGTTCATGAACTGATGAAGGTTCATCTACATTTAGCAGAGCGATTATGTAAAAATCTGAACCTGAATTCGAATTCACCGCGTGTCTCAGATATTCTATTCTAATGTCATTCCGAAACTCACTTCACTCATGCCGCGAAACGTTATTAACAATTCAAAGTTGAGCAGATGCCGCTTTTGAAGTGAATTCGCACACCTGAGTGAATTCGAATTCGGGTTCGGATTTTTACAGAACTTCTAGACTTTATTTTTCAAAATTAAGCTTTGAATAAAGACTTGAAGTTGCGCGGCGGAGCCAATGGCGGAACAATGATAATAAAACTATATGTTTTACAGGTAAGTTTAATTGGTAACTAGCTGTTTTCCCACGACTTCGGTAGGGTAGATAGCCTTTCTCTCTCTAGTCGTACACTCATTACTGAGGATTTTGGGGACTCATTACACGAACAATACTTCTTTACCGAAACCAGTCGAGAAAGCCCTCACCACCTCGTAGAACTCGAATAGGTATGTATCCCCTTTCACCTGGTTACATCATGATATTGGTGTACGGTTTCGTGATCTTCTTCCTTCGGTATTTTAAAACAATTACCAGTATTTTAAGGCTATTATCTTCTCTTCGCATTAAGTGGCCAAAATAAGAACGTATGCGTTGCATACATTAGCTGGATAGTCGAGTTTTAATGCCAATATCACCACCACCATCAGCCCTTTTACGTCCCCACTGCAGGGGCTCAGGCCTTCCTTATGGATGGTTAAGGAGGATGGGCCATGACCCTCCACGCTGACCCAATGCGGATTGGAGGGTATTAACGACTGCAAATGCAGCCGGGACCAACGGCTTAACGTGCCTTCCGAAGCACGGAGTAGCTCGAGATAATAATTTTTTTTTGGTCACCCATCCCGTGACCGACCCTTGTGAAAGTTGCTTTACGACTACGATCACGGGCCGCGGCGCTTATCCACTACGCCACCGAGCTACTCTGCCCGGTAATGCCAATATATTTATCGTATAATATAGCTTACGTAGGTGAAAAGAATTCAATAATCGGTCTGATAGTTTCGATGCCTAGTCTGTTTAAATAAATCTGTTCCTTTATAACCAACAAAAAACTAAATTATCTATGCTCTCACCAAGACTAAGCTATAAGTCTACAGGCGAACAAACAATTGAAATTTAATAATAATATGACAATTCTGTCATTTATAACCGACAGGTTGGCTTAGCCTCCAGATAATACAACTTATAATAACTATCAAACAGATATATCCTCAGGAGTACCGGTGCTCTTGTTACTTTTATAATAAGATCTATTTTCCAAGAGTTAGTTTTGTTTTAACTAACAATTCATGAGCGAAAAGATTAATGGCACAAAATGAATAAATAAACTGTTGAACAATGCAACATGGACATAATTACAATTAGATTTGAATACGAGTAGATAATAAATTATATCAGTAGAAAATATAATGTTCCTCTAACTATAAATAGATTATTGATAATACTGTAAAATTAAAAGAAATCCAAAAGCTACCTAAACCTCTCCAAAACTTAGTAGAATTGAAATTGTAATGTCTGAATTTTTCAATTTAAAAAAAAGAAATAATTTTGATACAGCGTATCTTGAAGAAAAATAGAAAATAGCAACGACGAGCGAAACCGCTACAGCCATCTGAAGATCTCAGAACATACCATATTTTAGTTGCACTAAATTTGTAATTAAAAAGCTGTAATTATAACGGTATTATTCCACCTCCAGTACGGAATACACCAAAATAAGAAGGCCACACTCAAGATAGCATCTCAAAATCTGAACGGACGGACCGCTTGCAACAGACAAAAATAAACCACCAGACAGACAGAAATCCGTTCTATATATACAATCGTGAGTGTGATCATTCAAATAAGATTTAATAGACACTTCAGGGGTCTGCTATTATCTCTTAACGCGATGCAATCGCAGTGGTTGAGTCGGAATGATACCTCTGTGTATAGCGGTATCGAACTTCAGTATTGGTGTTTGTATTGTTTTAAGAGCTCAGTAATGCCATGGTCAAGTTTCAGTTTAGTTGGAAACTATGGTGTGCGTTGGTCTGGATTCTTCCACCATTTTGCAGGAGATCCAGATTCCCGATAGCATAGTTTGATATTGCCAGCAAAGTTTTGAACCTTTTCCTCGACGGGTTATAATAAATTGGAGAAATAAAATATTTATTTCTCTTGGCAATCATTCGAAAGTCTTGAGGAATGAAAATTTTCCTGGTCCCGTTTACTTTGGGTCGACCTTTCTTGTCCTCCGTTTCTACAGCTTATGGTCCCGAGTCGTGTTTTCGTCAATTTGACAATAATTCAGATATTTTTGCACCGTCGTCAACCAAGTGGCAGGTGGTCTTCCTCGTCCCCGCTTCGTCGTTTGCATAGTAAAGGCCAGCTTCACAATGTGGTCATCCGACCATCTCTGGACATGTCCATACTATTAGAAACGTTTCTCTGTCAGAGTTATCAATAAACAAGGTTTAGCGCTGGAGTAAATTTACGCTGAGACTGCACTTAGTATTAGTCAAAATTCATATTATTAAACACAAACTTTGCAAAAGTTAACTTAGTACGAGATTCTACGGCAGTAATATTTACTCCTAGAAGGTAGTAGGTTTGCTTATTCTTTGTATAATATGAATTTGGACTAATACTTAAATTGCAATTGTAGCGTAAATTTACTCTGACGCTAAATCTTGCTTATTACTAGCACTGTTTTTATTTTTTCTTTAATAGGTGCAACTTTGTAACTACCTCTTATATATAGCGAATTCTATCGAGCAAGGAGATACCCGCTGACCAGCGTATATTGTTGAAAACCTTGTTTGTGCACATTGGATGCTTACTATACCACTAAAGTTGTAGGTAACGTTTGTTATCTGCATTTGTATATTGTATTTTATAAATCATTTATTCAGTTTGGGTTAACGTTAAAAGCATTTCATGTATTATTTTGTATATAAAATAAGTAAAATACTTTCTGTACAGAGTTACCAATACCTTACTACTAATCGTGATCTAGAAAAAATATTTAAACTATTATTTGCATAAATTACACAGTGAAGTGATTTAAGTATCGAAATTAATTTATGAAATATCGTTTAAGGCTTTTACGCTGTTTTATGATTTATTAAATGCACATTTTACGGTAGATTACTGCAATACCGTAATTGATCAATTTAATGCATCAACTGCTGCAGGCTTCGACGCGCGATTTCATACATCGAAAACCTGCATTCTTACTAAATTGATTTATTTCCAACATTATCATGCTGACATTAAAGTTTTAATTTCAACAAAAAACTTTTATTTCATATAGAAATTACATTGCGGTTAACGGTTTTACGTAAAACTTTTTTAAATGCATCTTTGGTTAATTCCATCATAAATGGGTAATTCAATAAAAAACTATGTTAATTGAATTATTTAGGTACATTTTTAAAATTGCACGTAGTCAATATCAAAGCGGGTAGCTGCCCGTTTATGACAAAGCTTATAATAGCCTTATAAAATGCCTTATTCGAAATATAAAATGCTTGATGTATCATTTTCATTAGTCTGTTATGACTGTCTTAATTAATCAAACTCAAATATTGTTTATTTTCCAAAACAGGAGTTAGTTAGATAATGATAACTCTACAAAACTCTCGCTCAGACATACTCAGAGCTATACAAAACCAATAAACTAAGGGTGAGCCGGAATAAATAATTTCATCAACCAATGAAATGAGTCTTTAGAAATTAAGTCCATAGTGATGTTATAAACAAATGTAAATAAGAATTATTTCTCAAAAAAATAAAACAATACTCTGACATAGTGACAAGGACCGGTAAATAAAACTACGACAAAATATAAAAAATAAACAAAGATTTTAAAAAATATTGATATTTAATGTAAAAGATCACAATTCAATATAATATCACGCCCATCTCGACCAGTTATGAAATATATTATAACATTTTGCCTGCTTCATCGACAGTGCATATACTCGTACAAGTATACGTGCAAATTTTCCGATTTGGCGAATGCATTCAAACCTCTCGGCGTTTTAACAAAGCACTAAATCTTATTTAAGTGGAACAGTGCGAGCATACAATACATCTTTCAATGTCAAAATAAAATAAGCTAAGCGAAATTAACGGGCAAACAATGTGCCGGTGGCCAGCGATGATTGTTTTTGGCATACAAGGGGAATGGAGGTATATTCTCTATTTGGGTAGAAATAGTTTTGTGTCGATGTTAAAATGAAGCAACACTTGCACTTTTTTCTGGAAATGAACAAAACGATAAGGTTTTTTTAAACTTCGAATTTCGAAAATGTAACGTCAAAAGTTTAATGTTTATTTGCAGTCCAAGTGCAGTAGAGC